AATTGACCTAGCGCGACCAAACTTCGTATACTTACACATCTTGGGGAGAAGGTGTGCAGAGTACCAAAACCAGGTCACTGCAACCTTTATTTGACCTTGACCATGACCTTGACCTTCATAATGTTTCCCTTCCGCTCTATAACTCGGCCCCTAATTGACCTAGCGCGACCAAACTTCGTATACTTACACATCTTGGGGAGAACACGTGGGATACATGTAGTTGGCGACAACTGCCCTTTCTAGTTTATATACAGGTCAATCACTTGCACTTGTACACACGATGTACTTGATGACTCGGCGGATTGACTCAGATGGTGTACTAGTACTACTAGGACATTGGTTGTTCTGTTTGTTGTTCTTGTACTGTTTCACACTGCACACATTTTTTTTTCACCAGAGGGCAATATTTTCAGCAAATCAAGTACTGGATCACACTATCTGCCTGTTAATCTTACTTCATCATATATGAATACCATTGTCATGATAAGGGTGACATCATCAATTTATTATCTTGATACCATAATATCATGCATGATCAATACACAAGATCGATGCCATTTTATTCAGAAAGCCTCTGCATGTAATAATCCTACATGTATCTGCAGTTCTGTAGACATGACACACGATGTGTACTATCAACCTGTCTCACTGCACTATGGCACAAAATTATTACAATTTAATACAGCTGAATTAAACCCATCACTTCTACATTACAGTCTCTGTAGGTAATATATTCATACAGTGTAAAAAAGGCAAGATAAGCTGCCTCTAGCAAGTTAATTCATTTGCCAAAATATTCTGACTCATTTACATTTTTCTCTTCTTTTCTTTTCTTTTTCTTCTTTATTTGTCATATTGCATACATGTATTAGCATTACTGAATTAGGTGCAGACCATATACTGTAATGCTAAAATATATACGGTTTCACTAGCACTGTCAGGGGTTGTGTTTTTTTGGCACCATCATGGTTCACATTTCTTGCTGCAGGCAGGTCACATGTGTGGCGACAGCGTTGATGTGATTAGTGGCTGTCCGACTGGGGCAGTGCGCATTTCCTTCGGCTGGATGTCAACGCTGGAGGACGGGCAGCGATTCCTGGACATGGTGCGAACATGCTTCGTGGTCGCACACTCCACCGGCGAAATGCACTGCGACAAAAGTGGCACCAATGTAGACAACCCATGTGTTTTGAGACCGGTGTCACCTTTCAGTGATAGCGCGGTGGTGGCAGACTGTCATGGCGTCATGTCGGCGAAGACGGCAGACACTTCACACATATCCGCACCAGACATGCAAGAGAATGAATCGCTGAGGCTCTCACGCATTTTCCTGTACCCTGTAAAATCGTGTGGCTCACTGGAGGTATGTGGGTCATTTATCCCATTATTTAAAAAACCTGACCAACACAAATCTTTCGAATTGCTTCATGAGCAGCAAACAGTCCGATTGAGTATTGAGATATTTTCAACTTTTGCTTTACAGTCAGTTTGCCTCTATTCCAGTTTGTATAAACCGTTTATACGTTGGTAATCAGTCACACTGTGTCCACTTGACAGGCATGAATTTTACTGGGATTTTCTGAAGGAAATGGCCGACAGCCTTTGTTATTACGTTATGGCGAGCTTTCGGGTTGGTAGCTGCTTGGTGAGAAAACGGGGTTACCATGCATGCATATAATTTGTTTATAATGTACAAGATTTCCCCCGGTGAGCCAAAAACTCGCATGTGATCTGTAAGGTCATTACCCAGCGCTTAGGTCTAGCATCGTGTCGTGTGTGTGCATGTGTGCGTGCGTGCGTGCGTGCGTTCGTGTGTGCGTGTTGTGTTAGCTCGTCCCTGGTTACTCGTCTAGGTGCATGAGTGGAAGCTGAGTGAGCGAGGCCTACTCTACGACAGGCAGTGGATGGTCGTCACGGATGCTGGCATCGTTCTCACTCAGAAGCGCGAGTCTCGCCTATGTCTCATCAAGCCTCGCTTGGACTTGCTGGCTGGTGTCCTGTGGCTGACGTTCCCAGGTATATAGTCCACCAGTAATACATCCAGCAAGAGAATGGCTCTATTCCTCATATATACCTTGTTGAGCAGACTCTGAGGCACTTTAGATAGATTTATGCAAACTTGTTCGAGTAACAGCGGCAGTTCTGTCAATCAAATGCAAGTGTGTGCGCAAAATAGCAGCATTATTAAAACTTCAATGAGCTCTAGAAGTACTTTTCACAGAGTGTATTTAACACAGTGTCTTGTTGGATACGTTGTTAGGTAGGATGCAAGGAGGGTGCCCCCATGCACCTAGCTGTACAGGAATATGATTTGAGGTGTTGCAATGGTTATTGTAAAGTGGGCTGAATTAATATCGGCCATATCTAACAACAGATTGTATCATATTTCAGATACCAACCCACTAAGTGTCCCCTTAGCCATGGACCACGACAAGCAGGAGCAAGCCACATCCGCCGAGAGGTTCACAGGCACCGTATGTAGGGCTCGTGTGTGGGGACAGGACTGTGGTGCAGAAGCAGGGAGGTGGCTATCAGCGTGCCTGAATCGACCCGGCTGTCGCCTAGTTGCCCATGACCCCGGCAGCAAACGAACACGTAAGATGGCTTAAGCCCTGAGTAGCAATGCAGTACAGTCATCACAGTTAAGTCTAGTTCACCTCAAGAGTTAAACCGCGAGGTTTCTTCAACTCTGGTGCAGCGCATATAACTGAACATGTCAAAGTTGGGTATTAGTAATGAATGCAGTAGCGAGAACAAGCTTGGTGCTCGTCATTTGCAGACGATGAGGGTCGGACTTCGTTGTCACTCGCTAACGAGGCCCAGTACCTCATCATCTCCGAGTCCAGCATCTCGCATCTCTTTGATTCCATCGCCATGACAGCGGACGATGCTCGTCCTGATCCCGATGACTTGATGGAGCGTTTCCGTGCAAACCTAGTTATCGCAGGCGGCACACCATTTGAGGAGGAGAGATGGGAAAGTGTGCAGATCGGCTGCCACAGCTTCCAGGTACTCACCAATTTTTATATTTCTTATTTTATTCATTACTTGTTCTTAACGTTGGGATCAAATCACGCATGCCAGTGCATTGCAGATTTTTTATACCTGAAATCTGGAGATGTGAATTGTGATCTTACACAGAAATAATTAATACCAAGAAGTAGGCCAGTATAGACATCTGCATGAGTTACAAACGGATAGTAAGATCTATAGATACCTGATCTGTACAGAACTTTCTGCCAGATGCAGTAGTTTGGCAAGACAATATACTGACATTACGATGCTTTTCACAGAGTCTGGGCCACTGCACTCGCTGTGCAGTGATATGCACTAATCAGAGAACTGCAGAGTTTGGCCGACAGCTGCTGGTGACCCTGAGGTCACTTCGCGCAGGCAAGCTTAACTTTGGCATCTATGTAAGAGCCAGCTACAGCAGCAGTGACGCCACCAGTACATTGAGAGTGGGAGACCAGGTGTTACCGGCTTATAGGTTGGTGGTGGAGGCGTAAGTGTGCGTGAAGGGTTCTGGAGTGGGTGTATAGGTGCGTGGTGCAGTGGTTGTAAACGACAGCTAAATACGGTGTTATTAACTAACTGACTATATACTGCCATGCACAGGCCTTATATTATATTAGCAAAGGGGTTGTTAAATATAAATGTAGGATTAGGAAGAGGATGCGGGAATTGGGCTGAGAGAGAGAAAATTAAGGCCTATAAAAATTAATTTTATTTATTAAATATATATATATATATATACATGGCAGTATGTCAGGTATCTAGTTTTAATAATGAAAATAACCTGTTATATATATAGGCTGGGAATATTGTTATATTATTTTGTTTCTCTAATATAAATAATAACCTCTAAACATATGTTATCAAAGTACTGAAATAAAGTGTACTTTTTACAGCCACAAGAGCATTAGTGTTTTAGCATGTGTGACAGAATCTCGTGTCACCACTGAAGAATTGATCAATCTTACTGTGAGTCTCGAACCTGTTATCCTTGTAAATTCTTACATGTTCCATAAATCCTTGACAAGTTTTGTCAAGGACGTGTTACTACACCTAAGTCGGACAGCATGCAAGTACAAATATCTTTCTTCCCCTCATACTCATACTTATACATATACATATATATACATATACATATACTTCTTTCTCCCCTGGTCTACCCATGCCATGTACTATACTGAACAGTAGTAATCGACATGCAGAAAATCAAATGTTGTACACCAAGTTCCACTGTGTCAGTTGTGCACCTGGTAGATCTACTAGGGTGATTAATTTTCAAGGGAGAAGGTTACAAGGTATAGTCCTGTAGGTATACAATGAGCACACACACACACACACACATATATATATATATATATATATATATATATAGATAGATAGATAGATAGATAGATAGATATATGTAGCGTTGAAGTATGTTTTCGTTTATAAAAGGTGATATAAATCCAAACTTGTGTATTAAACTAAATAAACTTTAATATCTTGCACACCGTGTAGTCACATCTTGCATAGCGAGACAAAGAAACGCGCACACGCGCGTAAGTTCTTGTGCTTACTCCCGCGATCACAACCAGACTCCCCGACTCCTACATCTCTGTCTTCCCCCGTCTCTCTAATTTCTCTTCTATATATTACCCCCAAAACCCCTACATCCTGAGCGCACATGTCACCCGTTCTCCCAGACCACGTACTACCTCCATTTCACAATGATCCTAGAAACGCGCGACCTAAAACACGTTTACACTCCCTATAACATCAATGTAGGCGTAACAAGATGCGCGACGCTGTGTCTAGATAGACTATTACTAAAGCAACCCCTAGTCTAGCTCCGCTGACTAATTCATGCAACATTTGTAAAACATATGTTACACTATCTCCCCCTTCTCCAAGACGATGACTACTCTAGCTGTCATCGATTCAGCGTCCCCGCTGATCTACACTTCAATCTAAACCTAAACAATTTCTAAAAAAAAAATACTATCCTAATACTTTCCTAACTCAACCCCAACGAGAGAAACGTATTTATGTCTAATTAAACAACCCACAATCAATACACAAACAAAACAGCATTCAAAATACAAGAAAACAAAATACATATGAAGCATAAAGCTTTCTATACAAAACAAGTAACGATAAGGTTCGATCACCATACAAGTCAGAAATTCAAAACATTTGGCAGTGAACATTTTGATATCGCTGCAATTACTCTCACTCTTGCGTCTTTTTATGCTGTAACGTACGTGGCATATGCGTATACCGACACGCATTATCGAAACCACGTTTCCAGCCATGTGCTCCATTATATATCATCTCAAGAGCTAATAATACCTTAAAAAGAGCTAATAATACCTAATAATAATAATAATAAGAGCTAATAATACCTAATAAAGGTATTATTAGCTCTTGATCATTTTTATTACCTTTATTACCATTTTTACCATTATTACCAATACACCATTATTACACACAGCACCAATGTGGACCTGACAACCTTTGTCACTTCCACACATCATTCAGCCAAAAAAAACACGCAAAACTGATTTCATATTTTCGATTAAATGTTTTAGGCTTATCAAACTCTGATGGAAAAATGTATTTAGCAGTCTGACAATATAGTGTAAACGTACCGTTACGACAAATTCAAGAAAACGATCACACATTTAAAGTTTCACACAAAAGATTTTCCCACACAGAAACAAACGGTCACAAGCATCTACCATGGAAAAAATACGGCGTACATAAAACAAAGAAAAACAGATAAAAATACACATTCCTGATGATGTCACCCTTTCACGCCCAGTTTCGACGGCACGAGATTAAAGCTTTCCACCAATTAAATTCTAGAATTCCCTGGATTTTGTTTTTTTTAGCTATTACAGTTCGCAATTTATCTTTCACGTCCTCTGTCTCTGCTCTGTCAGCCTTGCCTTCTCTGTTCTGCTATCTTCGCTGTCTCACACACCGGCCGTCACTTCTTCCACGCTGTCTTACTCACAGTAGTTCCTACGCCGTGTGTATCCACCGTTCTCTCTCCTGCGTCTCGCTCTGTTTCTCCCGTCTCGCTCTCCGCCATTCTTCGTCTCTGTCGATCGATCTCCGTCGTTCTTCGTTTCCTCTAATCTTGCTCCTGTTCCCGTCTCTCTCTCTCTCTCTCTCTCTCTCTCTCTCTCTCTGGTCTCTCTCTCTCTCTCTTCTCTCTCTCGTCTCTTTCTCTCTCTCTCTCTCTCTTCCTCCCTCTCTCTTGCTTTTCTCGTCTGCTCTCCGTTTCCCCTCTAGTTTTCTTGCCGCGAGTGTACTCAGCGACTCCTCCTGTCTATTCTTCCTTCTCCATCTTCCTTGCGTAGTATGGCCCGTAGATCGACATAGTTGGATACCTTACGCTTTCGTCCGCAAAGAATACCCAGGTTTTGGACTGTCATTGGCTCCGAAATGTAACATTGAATTAAAAGTTTCGTATAAATGATGAGGAAGGAAGAAGGAACATATGTTACATTAGCTCCTGGTTACATATATAGAATATATATATAAACAAAGTCAAGGTATAGAATAAGGGTGTTTAAAGTTTAATTGACGAGCTTTCGAGATTCCATCTCTTCATGCAGTCGTCAGCAGACATTGGAATAGAATCAAATAATCAAAAACAAATACATCGTTATAGATAATCAAAAATGATTATTCTCAACAATTCGCGCTTTGCCATGAATACGGACGCAAAAGAACACGCAACACACACACATATATATATATATTATATTTATATATATATATATATATATATATAGCGTGTTCTTACGTTTGCTGACACTGAATGAAGAGATGTAATCTCGAAAACTCGTCAATTAAATATATTATATCTATAACTCATTGTATTTGTTTTTGATTAGTTCGATTCTATTCCAATGTATATATATATATATATATATATTATATATTTGTAGACACGTTATTAAGCGCTACCTTGTTTAATCTGTTCTGAAATGAACTAGAGACAAGTAAAGACAGACAAGACGAGATAGTCGTTCAGTAGTGTTTTACTATACATAATATCACATAGAAATCAATGTGCTACAGACTAGCAAGACCGTTCAAATACATAGCGACCGTATCACGCACCTACACCTTTCTCGATACGTGTCTTCTAACAAGAGCCCGAGAAGCAAGGCCTCGTCCTTATATACGCGCCGCCTTTTCCTTACGTTCACCTCTCGTTATAGTTTCCTTCTCTGCTTCCTCCTCCACTTCCTCCGGCCACTGACATGAGCCAAATACGAATTCCTCCTCCACCTCCTCCATTACCCATAGCGATGGCTACGGAGATGCATGTCTCCGCCTCGACTTCGTATTCAGCCGATTCCCATGCTACCCATTTCTGCCCTGATGTCATAGGTCATCTGCGTCAGCGTCTAGGTTTGTCTAATGCGCACATGCCCGGAACCTTAGGCCTCCGCGCTCGATCATTGCTTGGTCTCGTACATGCTAACTAGCTCGCGTAGTGTCCATTCTTAGTATGTTGTGACACCTCTCCGACACTGTGTGCGCCAAGATTGCATTTCCCCCGCATCGCTATCGCTCTCTCTCGTGGCAATCTGCAATCTGCCCCTTACATTCCTCCTCCCCCATCGGACGATGCAATCATCGTCAAGTCGCAGCGTCCTGGCTGTCATCGATGGGACCCGAAATTTTGCCCGTGAGACAATCGATTGGTGACGTAGCTACAGACGACCGCAGCTCGCATATACCGAACGCACGAAACTCGACTGGCAATCTCGAACGAATGGCCGTTGCTACCTTCCATTTAAATGCGCGCATCATGCCGTGGTTCATTAAATACATATCGCGAGCAAGTCAAATGTTCGTACATATTGCGCGCCATGCTAGACCGCACACCAAGAACCCAATGCTACGAACACGCCGCGTTTAGGCGCGCAGGTATGGCACGCACACCTCTCCCAACTCTATTTTTCCGAACCGGTCGGTCGGTCGGTGATCGTCCGATCAGCGATCGTATCGTAAACAACATCCATTTTTCTATTTAACTATTTCTTTTATTTCTCCCTAATTTAGCTTTCGATTACCCTCGCACTATATTTATACTCTACAAAACAAGTAACGATAAAGTTCGATCACCATACGAGTCAGAACTTCAACACATTTAGCAGTAAACATTTTGATATCGCTGCAATTACTCTCAATCTTGCGTCTTTTTATGCTGTAAGTTGTAACGTACAATAGCTACAATGCAACATATGCGCGTACCGACACGCATTACCGAATACCGTATTCCCGAATACGTATTACCGAAACGACGTTTAACTACCTCGAGCTTCGTGCTCCGTTATATATCATATTGATCCGTATTAATCCCGTATATCCTCATTTAACACCGATGTGGACCTGACAACCTTTGTCACTTCACACATCATACAGCCAACAAAAAGACGCAAAACTGATTTCATATTTTCGATTAAATGTTTTAGGCCTATATCAAACTCTAATTGAAGAATGTGTTTAGCAGTCTGACAATATAGCGCAAACGTACCGTTACGACAAATTCAACAACGATGACAAATTTCTACATAACGTTTCACGCAAAGATTACACCAATAAATACTACAATCAACGAAAAATAAGAACACGTCCCGTAGGCTGTGAAACAATCGTATATCGGCAAAAATGGTTGCGTACCTCACAGGTGTGAGTTTCGAGACATTATAATATGCACTTTTTGGTATGCAATAGGAATAATAGACCAGGAAGAGTATGGTTTTGTTCTGTGCTCTAGGTGTACATTCCCCTCTGTGCTATCCTCCGAGTCATACTTATACCGTGACACCTAAACCGAACGATTACCCCCTCAGGTGAATCTCGTAGTTCTGCTAACGGGCGTAAATCTACCTGTGCCTACCGTCACTACTGTCGCTCTCTGTCCACGATTCTGTTCGTGGCCTACCTCAGCGAGTCTGAGGGCGTATATCCCAGGCCCTTGCATTAACCTGTGCATCTACCTAGCACCCTCGACTTATTCCCTTAGAACTATATGCCTTGTCTCGGAAATTCGGCATTCTACGCATTTCAGAAAACTCGTAACCCGAAATCAAGACCCTCTACCACGCTGTTGAGTAAAGATTTAATAACTTCACGTCTAACACATGCCATCGTTTCTATAGGTAAATCAGTCATCGCTAACGTAATAAAATAATCTGATGTTGAGGGTGGTGGAGGGGATAGTGGCGGTAGTTATAGGCGGAGAAAAGTGCTTTAATATTTCGCTAAGTAATACGCTCGTACCTTTCAAAGCTAGTTTAATACGCAATCTATTTATGCCGACACAATAATTGTTTCACTCACCCGCCTCGAACTATCTCCTTGAGTTTGTGGTCTTTCCAGCGGATATCTCGCTATATTGTCGCTGTCCGGCATCAGCTGCTTTCTGTCGATCCTTGCGTATAGCTGAATCGCGCGTGTTTCTGCGTCGTCCCTGCTTCTCCCATAGCCAGGTCGTACAATTGCGAATGTTCTGGCTTATACGCGCTATTTGCAGCTGCATATCACTGTCCCTATGCATTTCCATACATTTTGCTCGTATGGCGAAACTCTGCATAACGAATGTCACAATCTTCTCTCCACTTCTCTTCTCTTCTCTTCATTTCTTCTTTTCTTCTCTCCTCTTCTCCCTCCTTCTTTTTCTTCTTCTTCTTCATCGTTACAGTTGTCTTCACTCAGTGTTTCTCTCGACTCTCGTGCATCGTATAGCTGTAGTACCTTTAGTTCGTTGTTTGGCAAAGGAATACCCAAGTTCGACTGGTACTGCACCAATGTAGACACGTGATTAGCGCTACCTTGTTTAATCTGTTCTGTAATGAACTAGAGACAAGTAAAGACAGACAAGACGAGAAGTAGCGTTCAGTAGTGTTTTACTATACATAATATCACATAGAAACTCAATGTGCTACAGACTAGCAAGACCGTTCATTTACATAGCGACCGTATCACGCACTTACACCTTTCTCGATCGGTGTCTTCTAACCAGAGCCCCGAGAAGCAAGGCTTCGTCCTTATATACGCCGCGCCCTTTTCCTACGTCACCTCTCGTTATAGTTTCCTTCTCTGCTTCCTCCTCCACTTCCTCCGGCCACTGGACATGCAAATACGGGAAATCCGTCCTCCACCTCCTCCATTACCCATAGCGAATGCTACGCGAGATGCATGTCTGCCGCCTCGACTTCGTATTCAGCCGATTTCCCATGCTCCCATTTCTGCCTGATGTCATACGTCATCTGGTCAGCGTCTAGGTTTCGTCATCATGCGCAATGCCGGGAACCTAGGCTCGCGCTCGACATTATTGCTTGGTCTCGTACATGCTACTAGCTCGCGTAGTGTTCCATTCTTTAGTATGTTTGTGCACACCTCTCCCGACAACTGTGGCGCCAAGATTGCTTTCATTCCCCCGCATCGCTATCGCTCTTCTCTCGTGGCATCTGCCAATCTGCCCGCTTACAATATATATATATATATATATTATAACACGCACAAAACACACACAACACACAGAGACACACACACACACAAACACACACACACACACACGCGCGCGCGCAACGCACGACGCACGCACGCACACACAGAACACACACACACACACCACACACACACACTACACACACACACACACACACAACAACACACAACGAAGCAAAGGACTCAAAAATCACACGTAATTAAAGTTTACGTTCATGCCCCCTGGATTTAAACAACCAACCCTCAGAATTAATTTCTGCTCAGTCATGACATGTCGACTTGAGCTATTGTAATATGGTGTCAGTTGGCAGCCACACACACGCACGTCATCAATGTGGTGATCCGGTTGGTTAAAATGGTCAGCAACCGGAAAACCATGGAAATTGAGGCGAATAGATCTTAGGTGTTCAACAAACTTATCCGCAAGGCGGCGTTTTGTTTCGCCAATATAGTAAATTTGGCATTTAACGCATTTAATGGTGTAAATGAGGTTCGTCGACACGCATGTAAATTAATCCCGTACTATAAATTTGCCCCGAAAAAATTGCTACACTAAATTAGCAATGAACCACGAGCACAAGAAGAGAAGAAGAACTACAGAAGACTCGCCAGTCATGCAGCCGCGCAAAGTTATAGGGGTCCACCCAACTGACACCCCTATAATGATAGACGCTGCAACATCTCCAATCCAGATTAATATCAACAAAAACGCACAAGGGTTACGAGTACCCATAGAAGCTGAGCCTTTGTTCCGCAAACTGCGCAACCTGAAGGATAAGCTTTAAAGGTACGAGACTCACAAATCTCGTTTGGAAGAGAGCCTGAGACAGCATCACATCCCGCCCTCCATGGATTTAAAAATGCTGCCAGTCGTCGGCAAACATGATGAAGAGTTCATGTCAGCCTGGCAGGCCTCTCTCACACAATTCCAAGAGCATATGGCCCTAATAACCATCAACTATGCCAAGGACACCGCAGAGCAACTAAGCGCAGAGATAACATCCACCCGCGAGGAACTAGTAAAAATCACTGGCTCCTCAACGAAAGCCGAAGAAATAGAAGCCTGGGTGGATACACTCAACGAACGCGCAGCACAACGGCAACAATCCTTACGCGACAGAAAACCTAAAGCCACACAAAAAAACAATGGGGAAAGAGCAACGGAAGAGCCGCTGCAAAACAAACAGACCACACTGAGACCAGACCGCAAACAACCCCAAAAAAACGTGAAGCGCAGGGAGGGGGCGAAACCCTACAACAGGGCCTCCCTAGGCGCTCACAAAACAACCAAAAACACAAACCGCCCCCAGGCACAGGATCTCACATCGCTCACCAGAGCCATGCGAGACATATTAAGAAACCTTCCCAGGGAATAGTCTGCCACCTAGGCACTTTTTATAGCACTCTAGACATCAAAAAAACCAAGGGACACAATACACGGAAAATACTCAAACGACAACACGTTCAACACCTGACACCCCCCTTAAAAACAATAACCCCCCCCCCCAAAAAAAATACCCAAAAATATAATGAAACGGCGAATAACACAACCACCTTCTCGAATATCCCTCTGTTCAATCTTTCCTCGTACTCACCTACGACGGAAGAACAAAACGTACTGGGCAAGGGACTGGGCTTCTGCCCTACACCACCCCCCCGGACAGGTCCGCCATCCTAGGCAGCCTCAAAAATTTCTTCCGTCGCCTCAGACTGAAGGAATTCTTCGGCTCCAAACAAATGCCCAGCAGCACAGGATCGCATTTCAGACCAGCCTCCACATGGACGCCCTCACCCAACAGAAACCCAGTACTGCAGACCTTCATCAAACTGGTACTCAGGGACGCGCTGCCTGCACCAATCCAAAAGCCCCCCCCCCGTTTCCACAATTTTCCGACCGAACAGCGACTAGCGCTGGAGCCACTGACCATCAACGAAGATTTAGTCATTGAACCTTGCGACAAGGGAGGAGGAATAGCAATCATGAATCGCGTAGACTACATCGCAGAATGCATGAGACAGCTCAACAATACTACCCACTATTCTCCACAAACCATAGACCTCACCCCTAGACACAGAATAGAGATAGACAAACTCCTCCTCAAAGGCCTACACACAGGAGAAATCAACAATAAAGAATACTCGGTGCTCACGCCAAAAGATACCCGAACGCCAAACTTCTATATCATGCCCAAAGTGCACAAGCAAGGCAACCCGGGTAGACCCATCCTATCCGCAAACAGTAGCCCAACCGAAATGATCTCCGCCTTCGTGGACCACCACAATAATACCTTGGTACGCAACATACTCTCGTACATTAGGGACACGGTAGATTTCTTCTCCTTCATCAGTAACTTCCCACCACTACCCCCCGAAGCGCTTCTCTGTACACTGGATGTTAGCTCACTCTACACTAACATCTCCCCCGACGAAGGAATACAAGCTCTGCGCCAAGCCCTTGACACACGACCGGCACCGCAGAAACCTTCCACAAACTTCCTAGCAGACATAGCAGAACTGATTCTGACCAAAAACAACTTTCAGTTCAACAACCACCACTACTTACAAATACAAGGTACACCAATGGGCTCGAAGATGGCACCGTCTTATGCCAACCTCTTCATGGACAATCTAGAACGCAAGTTTCTATCCTCCACAACACACCAACCGCTCACCTGGAAGAGGTATATCGACGATATCTTCGTTATCTGGACCCATGGCACCGACGCCTGGGACTCATTCGTCACAAACCTTAATGGCTTCCATCCCACCATCAAATTCACGGAATCTCACAGATCGTTATGTCTCCCCTTCCTAGACGTACGGGTAACCATCGACAAGGGGTCCTTGCACACAGACGTATACTGTAAACCCACAGACTGCCACCCGTACCTCAGGACAGATTCAGCCCACCCTAAGGCACTCATAGACAACATCCCCTACGGGCAATTCTTCCGCCTAAAAAGGATCTGCTCAAACAAAGTGCGCTTCGACACGTGCTGCCAGGAGTTTAAGCACCTGTTCCTGAAACGGGGCTACAAGGCAGACCTGCTAGATAAGTCTATACAAAAAGCGTCACAATGCTCACGAGAATCACTGCTAAAACCCAAACCAAAAGCAGTGAACACAAACCTAAGAATTTCCTTTATCATGGAATACAACCCCAGTAACCCACAGATCAAACAGATCATCCAAAAACACTGGCACGTTCTATCAGCCTTACCGGCCCTGAACCATATTCTCGACCATCCGCCTATCTTCGCCCTAAGCAGAGGTAAGAATTTGAAGGACGCGCTCATACGCGCAAGAATATCCCCACCACACTCTCGCCCTCAGCTCACCCACGCCAGTGGTCGCACCTCAACGCCAGGCACACGCCCCTGCAGGCGTACTCGCTGCTCCACGTGCAGCACGGTCAACTCACACACGGTCTTACCCTTCCCTCCCCCCACCGGAAATACATCACGCATTCCTTCACATGCATCTCCACGAACCTCATCTACGAAATCTCCTGTCGCAAATGCCCCGCGGCCAGATACATAGGCGAGACACAGCGTTAACTCAAAGATCGCATAGTTGAACACCTCCGTGACATTACAAAACGAGACATTAGCAGACCCGTCAGTGCTCATTTTACACGCGACAACCACACCGCAGCGGATTTTAAGTGCAGGGGGCATTGGACAAATATTCTCGGACCCCCCCCGAACATCCACACACGATCCGCAACAGAAAGAAAAGAGAAGCCTATTGGATCCAGAATCTAAACACCATCCAACCACCGCACCACTGGCCTCCGCTCCTCCCACTCTCCTCCCCTGTACCTCCACAAGATTAAACATCTGCAGGTAGGCCGTGCACCCAACGTACGCACGCAAAATACGGCTCTTGCGCAAGTATGGTCGGTGACGTCCTGTACGGTCAGTGTGACGTCAGTGCTATCCACCACCATAGACCAATCACGCACGCACATCCATGTATTGATAATACGTATATATATATATATCCTCCGCGCACTGGCCTCGCTCCTCCACACTCCTGCCCCTGGACCCTCCACAGAGAAAACTGCATGTAGGCCGTCACCTCCAACCGTACGCACGCAATAACGGCTCTGCGAAGTATGGTCGTGATGTCAGTGTGACGTCATCGCGTACGGCGCGTACGCCGGCGCGTTACATGTGATGGTCGTTGGTTCGAATCCATCTGTTTATTTTTTAATTTTTCTAATTTTTTATCTTATTCCATTTAATATTTTCCCAATAAACGCAAATATTAACAGATTTTATTTACAATTTTCATTACATTAATTATTTTGTAATTAAATTAAATTATTAGTGTAAAAATTTAATTAGGGTTTAGGGTTAGGGTTTACGGGTTACTAGGTTTAGGTGTTAGGGAAGGGGTAGTCACGCAACCACCAGCACCATCAGCAGGCTGATCGACTGATCTCTATAATATAATAATTAATTATAAATATAAATATAATAGATTATATTATAGAGATCGTGGGGCTGAGAGGGTCTATGTCCCCCCCGGGTACGCCGGAAGCGTAACCCCT